CTCTCCGCCGGCCTCTCGGGGCTCCTGGCCCGCCTGTCATGGCTGCTGCTGGTACTGGCTCTCGGTGGCTGTGTAGAAGTCGTCCAGCACGCTCTGGATGTACTCGAAGGTGGGCCGCTCCTCGGGGCGGTTCTTCCAGCAGCGCGTCATGATGTTGTAGAGCTCCTCGGGGCAGTGCTCAGGTCGGGGCATCCTGTATCCACGCTCCAGTGCCCGGATCACCTCGGGGTTTGACATCCCTGAAAAGGAGTGATTGGATTAAAAAGGGAGGACTGGGGAAACAGGAGCCTGTAGGAGCTGGGGAGCCGAGCCCTGCCCACCGTGAAAGGCAGTTACTCCCTCTCCCAGTCTTCATGCAGCTACTATGTGGGCCTGGGACCTGGTTCTGACCAATAGGAGCTGAGGGAGAAGTCTGCTGGGAGATTTCCAGGAAAAGTTTTCTCCCTGATTAAGAGAGGCTCTGGGGGACACACCCATCCTTCCTGTGGACACTGAGACCATGAAGCAATCCTTGGAGCTATACCAACCATCTGACCACGTGCGGAAGATAATCACAGAGAAACTAATGCAGAGTCCTAGCAGCTATTAAACCACTGTGCTGGGGGACCAGCAGCTGGCGTCATGGCTATGTCGCTGCTCTCCCATGTAGCTTTCCTTACCGGGGTAAGGGATACGGCCGTAGGTGACAATCTCCATCAACAGGATACCGAAAGACCAGACATCTGACTTGATGGTGAAGGAGCCAAAGTTGATGGCTTCAGGAGCTGTCCACTTGATGGGGAACTTGGCCCCTGCGGGATTGGACAGAGCAAGAGTCAGGGAGCAGCCAGGGCTCTGCTTGGGTGTGGGACAGCACAGGGGCAACAGCTGCCAACATCTGCAATTTCCCCACAGTGTGGCTGCCCTGTGGAAGCAAGGGTTACCCTGGGAACCAATGGCCCTACTATTTCCATTTTAAGGCCAAGTAATATTCCATTGTGTGAATGTATCACATCATTTTGTTTAGCCATTCATCAGCTGATGGACATTAACTTACATGATTTCCACTTTTTTGGCTATTACAAATAACGCTGCTATGAACACTTGTATGTGAGATTTGTCTATTTTTCATTTCATAAACATGGAACCACCTAGTATCGATTCTTTTTGTCTGAGTTATTTCATTTTGATACTAGGTTCATGAGAGTCATCCACTTTGTGGCCTGTAGTATTAGTCTGTGCCTTCGCGCTGCGTGGTCGTGCCTTGTGTGACTACACCACAATTGACAGATCCATCCTACTGCTTCCAGACATTTCGATGCTTCCCAGGTTTTGTCTGTTAGGCATAAAGTTGCTCTTACCCCTAATTTCAGCAAGTATTTGCCTAATTATGTCTACAAGCAATCAGTCTGGTCTGAAATGTCCCTCTGAAAGTCACTACGTCAGGACACTGTTCAGAAGGACCTGCTGGGCTTCCTAGCGCACAGCTAGTACTAGGCTAGACCTTAGGCTGTTACCAATTGCCCTCATAGGTACCAACTCTCAACACTCACAACCCATCCGGGGGTCACCATGAGCCTGCTGGCAGTGTTCCCTACCTTCCCGAGCTGTGTACTCATTGTCCTCAATGACTCGTGCCAGGCCGAAGTCAGCAATCTTACACACCAGGGATGCGGAGACCAAGATGTTGGCAGCTCGGAGGTCTCGGTGAATGTAATTCCTCTGCTCGATGAAGGCCATGCCTTCTGCAATCTACACCCAAAACAGAGACACACCCCCTTATCCTCAGGCCTGCCCCAGTCCAGAGTGGTCCCCCCAAGAACAGGAGTGTCCAGGTGGGAGAAAATGGGAAAACATCTACCCCTGCTCCCCTCTTTTGTCAGAAGGGTGCTGAGTTCAAGTTCATAGGATGGTATTTCCGTCTGCCCATCCAGCTTGGGGGGATTCTCGAGGCCTGAGTCACTTCGGAGGCTTCTCTAGAGACTTAGGCTTTCCAGAGAGCACCTTGAAATGTTCTCAAAGCAAAAGCAATGGATTCTTTCTCCAGAATCTATGCGTGTGCATGTGTGCATGTGCGTGTGCACATAAACACACAGCAGGGCACTCGAAGGGCTTTTCCTCTCCAGATCCTTTCTGGGGACAGCCTAGATTCATGTCATATTCTGCCATAGCTCTTCTATCTTCTTCATTCCCAAGCCTGGGTAGGGGAAATTCATTTATTCTTGCAAAATAACTCTGCGTGCCTTGTGGGTATCAGACACGTTAGTTGAACAGACGGTGAGCCTGGCAGAGCCCCTGCAGGTGGTGATAAGGACCATGAGGAAAGGATCAAGCGGATAACAGGACATGGAGCGTAGAGGGTGTTGGATTGGGTCGTCAGGGAAGCCTGCTCTCAGGAAGTGACTCTTTAGGAAAAAGTCTGCCTGATGGTAGTAATAAGTGTGCCAATCAAGTATGTTCCAGGCAGAGATATCAGGAAAAAGGCCTGGAGCCAGGAATGACCTGGAGTGTTCTTGCAACAACTCAGAGGCCAGCAGTGGAGCAGAAGGTGCCAAGCGGGGAGGGGTTGAAGTTGAGAGGGAGGCCACCAACCCCGAATGACCTGTAGCCAGGAAAGGAGACTTGTATTCCGAGTGTGGCAAGATCTGAGAGGACTTGAGCAGGAGTGTAACATGACCTGATAGGCATGTTAAGACCATGATGGCTGCCAAGAGGAGGAGAGTCTGTGTGGTGGACGTCCACTGCGATGGAGGCCCTGGAAGCCTCTCATAGGTATACATGGGATTATGCTTTAGAAACATTTAAAAAGTTGGGCCCAGCAGTTGGCGTAATGACTATGTCTCTGGACTCCCATGTAGTCGACTGCAGTTTGAATCCTGGACCCAGTAGCTTAAACTCACGCTGGGCGTGTGTGTGCGTGCCCAAGATCCCAAGAAGAGAATAGAGGAGAAGGGACTGTGGTGTGGCCATCCCCCTGGGGGGGTAATTTCTCACTTTCTGTCTCTCTGTCTCTCTCTGTCTTTCTGGCGAGTGCATGTACCCTATAGCAAAAATAATACTCTCAAAAAAAAAAAACCATTTGAAAAGTTTATTCATGGAGCCAGCAGGTGGTCCAATGGTTAAAGTGCTGGACTCCTGCACAGTTCAAGTCCTGGACCTGGTGGCTTAAAACTCATGCCAGGTGTATGTGTGTGTGTGTGTGTGTGTGTGTGTGTATGTGTGTGTGTGTGTGTCCAAACTCCTGAGAGGAGAATGGAGGGGAAGGGATTGCACTGTGGCCATCTCCACTGGGGAGTAATTTCTCACTTTCTGTTTCTCTCTGTGTGTCTCTCTGGCAAGTACATGTGCCCTATAACAAAAATCTCTTTTAAAAAGTGTATATTTATTTATTTCTTCCATGAGAGAGAGAGACAGGCACCCACAACAGGATCTTCATAGCACGATCCAACCCGTCTCAGCCAACCTGGACTACGGGTGTGGACACGCATGCCCCAGACTGTTTGGGGTGGGGTGGGGAGGTCCCAGGATGTGGACTCCGGGCTTCTCCTGTGTGAGTCTAGTTGCATGACTACCACCTGAGACATTTTTATTTATAAAGAGTTGGGCAAAAGAGGTTTAAGATTAACTCTCAGATACCCAGAAACCAGCACATAGCAGTTTACAAACTGGCCTTTGAGCCCTTTGAGGCAGGAATGATTCAGAGGAGGAGACATGACTTCCAGATCACAAGGCTAGGAATATTCTGAAAATCAGTCTCAAATCAGTCTGCAGATCCCTGAAATTCTGCCCCAAGCTGCTGCAGTGCTCTGCAATGGGATACTATTTTCTGAGATTATTTGGGAGATTGTGTGTGTGTGTGAGTGCACATGCGTGTGTGTGCAGAGGGGCAGGAATTGACTAGATAAACCAAACCAAGGTGCCAACAGAAGGCTGCTGGTTTGAGGCAAGTGGGTGACACACTTACTGGGAGTGGACAGTAGGGGGCACCCAAGGTGGTGGGAACTGAGATACAGACTTGAAAATAAAAACAAAAACAAAAACAGTCTTTCTGATTTAGTTTGGATTAGGGGAATAAAGACATAGGTAGGAGGACCAGCAGTTAGCGTAATGACTGTGTTGCTGGACTCGCATGTAGTCGACCATGGTTCGAGTCCTGGACGCAGTGACTTAAAACTCACATCGGGCACGTGTGTGTGCATGCCCAAGATCCCGAGAGGAGAATGGAGAAGGGATTGCAGTGTGGCCATCCCCCCTGGGGGGTGATTTCTCGCTTTCTGTCCCTCTGTCTCTGTCTGTCTGTCTGGCGAGCGCATGCGCCCTATAGCAAAAACCTCCCCCCCAAAAAAAGACATAGGTAGAAATGTGTGCCAAGTTCCAGGTCTGGTCATGGTAGATCTTGTAGCTTATTTATTATAAGATGATACTTAAACACTTAGACAGCATTTACTGTATGCTTTAGAGTAGGCACTCCACTATCAGCCCTGTTTCCACAAATGAGAACATGAAGGCCCGGAGTGTGAAGCGACTGACCCAGGGTCACTTGCTTGCAAGTTGCAATGCCATGGCTGGAACTCTGAGTGCTTCTATTACTCTACCCAGTCCTTTTGTCTTCCATTTCTTTTTTTCTTTCTTTATTTTTTGGAGAGGTTTTCATTATAGGGCGTGTGTGCTTGCCGGACAGACAGAGAGAGACATAGAGACAGAAAGCGAGAAATCACCCCCCAGGGGGGATGGTCACGCCGCGATCCCTTCTTCTCCATTCTCCTCTCAGGATCTTCGGCACGCATGCACACGCGCCTGTTGTGAGTTTTAAGCCACCGGGTCCGGGATGCGAACCGCAGTCGACTACGTGGGAGTCCAGCGACATAGCCATTACGCTAACTGCTGGTTCCCTGCTTTCCATTTCTTAGGGGAGTAGACCCTTAATGCTGGTGATTGCCTTTTTTTTTTTTTTTTTTTTTTTAATAATTTCCCAGAGGGTTCATGCACTTTCAGGGAGGAGAGGGAGAAAGTGAGAAAGCCCAGCTCATGGAGGACGGTCATGTCGTAATCTCTTCTCCGTTTCTCCCTCCTTTCAAGACTTTGGGCATGCACATATGTCCAGCATATTTCTCATGTTGCTGAATCCAGTATGCAAATTGCATAGTCAGTCATGTGTGCGTGCATGCCCAAGATCCCGAGAGGAGTATGGAGGAGAAGGGATTGCAGTGTGGCCATCCCCCCCTGGGGGGTGATTTCTCACTTTCTGGCCCTCTGTCTCTCTCTGGATCCAGCAGCATGAGAAATATACTGGATATATGTGTCTTCTGTCCCTCTGTCTCTCTCTGTCAGTCTCCTTGACCACTACGTCACAGGTTGGTCCATGGCTTCTTCCTTTTAAAGAAGTATTTCTTTTCTTTATTATTATTATTGTTTTAAAATTTGCATTAGGGCATATGTGCTCACCAGAGAAAGAGAGAGAGAAAGTGAGAAAGCAAGCCACCAGGTCTGGAACTTGAACTGCAGCCAGCTATGTGGGAGTCCAGTACCTTAACTACCATGCCACCTGCTGGCCCCTGGTTTCCATTTCTTAATACTCATTGGGGTATTAAAGTCCAGTGGGGCAGGGACAGCTAATTCAAGAGATGACAGAGGATAATGGCCAAATGGCTCCAGAGTAAGACCAGCTCAGCTTGAGCCCCATAGTTCTGTGATCTCAAGCAAGTTTCCTTTGTCCTCTGTGCCTCGTTTTTCTTCTCTATAAAGTGGAAACTACAAAATAGCCGCCTCCCGAAGGCCATGTGAAGATTAATCCTCTAAGCTTAGAACAGTGTTTGGCACACAATAGATATTTACTTCAGTGATGGCTGTCAAGGTTCTGGCTGGGAAAAGTGGGCTCAGAGAGGTTAGGCAACATACACAAAGCTACACAGGCAGAGCTGGGACAAAAAGCAAAACTCTGGGGCTGGCCCTATAGCACAGTGGCTAAGGGCTGTACATGGAAAGCCAAATTGCAACCTGGGTCCCCAGTTTAAGTTTCACTCCCAGCACCTTTAAGAACATGCTGGGGTGGGGACCAGGAGATGGTGTAATGGTTAAATTGCTGGACTCCCACATGGCCATCTGCAGTTCAAGTCCCAGACCTAGTGACTTGAAGCTCATGCTGTGTGTGTGTGTGTGTGTGTGTGTGTGTGTGTGTGTGTGTGTGTGTGTGTGAGTGCCCAAGATCCCAAGAGGAGAATGGAGGAAAAGGGATTGCAGCATGGTCATCCCCCCTGGGGGGATGATTGTTCACTTTCTGTCTCTCTGTTGAGCACACATACATGCCCTATAACAACACAAACAAACAAATAAAAACATGCTGGGCAAATGTATCCAAAATCCTGATGAGATGGAGGAATGTAGGAAAAAGGATTGTAGTGTGACCACACCCCATTGGTGGATGCTTTCTCTCTCTCACAAGCACATGCGCCAGGCCGTCTGGCAATAAGGAAGCCAAAACGACAATAACAAAAATCTCTACCTGACTCCTAAGCCCTAACATGTTCTTACAGTGTTGCTTCTCAAGGGCTTGTCTACTGAATGACTAATAGGTAAGCTTACTAGACCCAAGTATAAGAACTGGGGGTTGGGAACCAGCAGTTAGCGTAATGGCTATGTCGCTGGACTCCCACGTAGTGGACCGCAGTTCGCGTCCTGGACCCGGTGGCTTAAACTCATGCCAGGCGCGTGCGCATGCGTGCCCAAGATCCTGAGAGGAGAATGGAGGAGAAGGGATTGTGGCATGACCATCCCCCCTGGGGGGGGATTTCCTGCTTTCTGTCTCTATGTCTCTCTCTGTCTGTCTGGCGAGCGCACACACCCTATAGCGAAAACCTCTCCAAAAAAAGAAAAAAGAACTGGGGGTTGATGGGGTAATGTGATTTCATGACCACTTAACAGGGTACCAATGAGGCTGGGAGGGTACCATGAGGCTGGGCATTAGAACCTGGGCTTGCTCTCAAGAGTATCAGAGAATCCCAGAATCAGAGCTAGAAGAACTTGTAGGGATATCTGAGCTTAAGGCTCTTCAAATGGAATCCTACCAATGTCTCAAAGTTTTCTGGGGTGGAAGGAGACCAAAGAAAGGCCAGATATTAGACTCCCAATGCTTCACCCAGAGCAACTTTGTTTTGACCTATTTTATATATTCAGCTACTATATAAAATTTCATTTGACCAATGGAATTTTGGATAAAATATTTTCCAAACTTAAAAACCACACAGGCCAGAAGGTGGTGCAGTGGTAAAACGTGGTGCTCTGTGCAGCAGACTCACATGAAAAGGCTCTTGGTTCTTGTCCAGAAACCTCCCTAAGTATGCTGGGCATGCATGCTCATGGTGCAGGGCTGGCTGGGGTGGGTTACGGCATTGGGACGCTGTTGGGGATGCTGTCTCTGTTTCTCTCTCTCTCTCTCTCTCTTGCTCATGGAATAAATAAACTTTAAAAAGACCAAAAACTTGGAAAGCATAGATGTGGTCCAGTTTTCTCTGACAAATAGGGAGACTGAGACCCCAAACTGATCAAAGCAGTTGGAGACAAGGCTGGGACAGCCTCACACTGCACAAACTGCTTCTCCAGGACTGGAGGCAAAGACCAGTTCCCAGGTGGGCTCCTTCCTGTCCTCTGCTTCTGTGGGTGCAAAGGCCCAGAACTTCCTTCCCTCCCTTGGTTTGTTTTCCCATCTGTGAAATGAGGAGAGTGGCTCTTGCCCCAGTCCATGACCCCTGCCCAGCAAGGCTTCTGTTGGAAGGCACCTGTGCTTGCTGGAGTGAGAAAGGAGACAGAGAGAGAGAGAGAGAGAGAGAGAGAATAAAAAGTGCCTTCATGGGGCAAAATCACGTGCAACCCATTTTCCTCCCTTTCTCCCTCTTGTCGGGATTTTGGGCATGCACGCACATGTGTCCTGAGTGTTTCTCAAGCTGCCAGGCACATGGCACACTCAAACTGCTCTGTTGGCCTTTGTGGGATTCAGCTGCCCTAACCACCATGCCACTGGTTGGCCCTCTGCCAGTTTGGTGGTTTTAAGTTAGCAACAGGCCAGACTATTGTGTCACAAAGGACAGGGCCTTGATTTCCATATGCTTCTGGGATTCCAGGCTCTGAAAGTAGAGCCTTTTGTTCTATCTTGCGGTAGCCGCTGGGCCCCTGGAATTTGCATACACAAATGAGCTCTACCCTTGGCATCTCCAAAAGGCCCAGCTGTAGGCCCTCAACTCCCACCAGGCTGCAAACCACACCCCCATCAAGTCATCCTCTAGGCTCTGGTAGACCAGGCCCAGCTCCCTTGTTTTCCCTTTGGGCTTTTACACGGGCTGTTTCTTCCGTTTGCATACCCTTCCCTTTCTTCATCTGCTGAACTTCTCCTCCTTCAGGCTCAGCCTAGATGCCACTTCCTCTGGAAAGCCTTGTCTGATTGTTCCTGGACCAGGCTAAATGTTCTGGCTGTACACTCCCATAGCACACAAAGGCAAGAGAGAGCAGAAGAGAGGACAGAAGAAAAACACACTTGGGTTGGTGATGAGAGGCGCTGCAGGGGCGAAAGGGATAATAAGAAAGAAAACAGGGCCCCGAGAAGTGTTTCTAGGGCCAGTCCTGTAGCACAGTGGTTAGGGACTGTGCGTTGTCATTGGGTTCCACACAGTCAGCCAGCGGCATGCAAAACATACCAGGCATGTGTGTGTGTGCATGTGTGACCAGAATCCTAATGGGAAGGGGAAATGGGAGAAAACAAGGGAGGAATAACTGTGCCCAGTTTTTTCTTTCTAGTGAGTGCATGTACTTTCTGGCAATTAAAAAACAAAAAACAAAAACAAAAAAACAGTGCCTGGGGCCAGCAGATGGTGTAGCAGTTACATTGTTGGACTCCTGCATGACGGACCACAGTTTGAGTTCGGGACCCAGCAGCCTGAAATTCATGCGGGGTGTGTGTGTGCATGATCAAGATCCTGGGAGGAGAATGGAGGAGGAGGGATTGCAGCATGGTCATCCCTTTAGGGGTTTTCTTACTTTTCCCCTCACTGCCTTTGTGTCTGTCTCTCTCCTCCATATGTGCTCTAAAAACAAAACGAAACAAAACAAAACAAAACAAAAACTGCTTCTGTGATTTGTATGTTATTTACTTTGCTGCGTGTTGCGCTCTTTTGACTTGAGCCAAGACTTCCTAGGTCATTGGTCTCTAAGAGATTCAGCTGTTTAATACCAGTCTTCCCATCTGAACTTTTGAAAAATGTTTATTTATTGGGAAATAGAGAGACACCTTCAACACGGCCTTCCCATCTCAACTCTCTCCCTAGTCCTGCACCTGCTAGGATCATGAGTGTGCCTGGGCAGTTCCAGTGTGTTCAAGTAGACCTGGGAACCAGACCCGAAGCTTTCCCATGGCTTTAGCCCCCGGCAGCAGCACCTCTACTGTCTGCACCGCTGTGCTTGGGCCCAGATGATGAACTCTACGAGGACAGCATATTTCGCATTGTGTTTGCCGCTGTATCCCTCATAACGAGCGCACTAACTTAGGTAAGCTACTTAGCTGCACTGGGCCCCGGTTTCTTCATCTGGATGTAACCTCTCTATGCCTTGATTTCCTATTTTGCAAAATGGGATGGCAGTTACCTCCCTGTGACAATAAACCATGTTCCCTGCAATCCCTACCCTTGCACAGTCCTCTCCCACACTGACTCTGAGCTTTGTGTGACTTTCTTTGGTCAATGGGACATTAGCAAGCGTGATGCAAGCCGAGGCCAAATAAGTGCTGGCACCTCACCATAATGCTGCAAAGAAGCTCTGGTTGGACTACTGAGTGGCGAGGGCCACAGGGAGAATGGTCCTGGAGGATGGACACCACTTCAGACACTCATTATTATCGTATTTTTAAACTTTCTTTGCCAGAGGGCACAAGAACTCACTGGAGAAAGACAGAGAGTGAGAGAGAAAACACTCCCCATGGGGCATAGTCATGCCACAGTCCCTTCTCCTTTCAGGATTTAGGGCACATACACACATGCGCCTGGCATTTCTTTCAAGCCACCAGGTCCAGGACTTGAGCCACACAGTTGGCCATGTGAGATCTAGCCACCCTCACAGCCACCCTACCAGCTGGTCCAATCATTGCTGTCATGGGATGGTTTGACCCGCAAACAGATACCAAAGCTTACCCTCCAAGGTTGGTGTGAAGATGAAATGAGTTAAGTACCTGGAAGGTACATAGGAAAGGATTCTTTCATACTGAGCACTCAGTAAACGTTCACTCTTGCTGTTATTGTGGTACATGGTCAACAACTATTTGTGGAATAAAATTCTGAGATTCTGTCCCCTTCCCACACCCCATCTTCCCATTACGCTCTTACCTGGGCTGAGAAGTCGATGAGTTTTGGCAAGGGCTGCTTGCTTCCTTCCTCACTTTTCAGGAAGTCCAGCAGGCTTCCTATACAGGGCAGGGGGAAGGGACATTTACTACTCTCACTACTTTAGTGTGTGGTTAGAACTATTCACAGTAATGGGTTAAGATAAAATGATTTGTTTACCATGCCTAATATTTGAGAAATAAAATTTGCATTTTTGGGAAATCTTTTATTTTTAAGAGAGATTTTTATTACAGGGAGCATGTGCTCACCAGAGACAGAAAAACAGAAAGCGAGAAAGCATCCCCCAGGGGATGGCCACACCACAATGCCTTCTCCTCCAGTCTCCTCTTGGGATTTTGGGCTTGCACATATGCACCTGCTATGAGTTTCAAGCTGCCAGGTCCTGGACTTGAACCATGGTCGGCCATGTGGTGTAACTATTACGCCATCTGCTGGTCCCAAATGACTTCTTTTTTTTTTTTTTTTTAAATTGTCAGAGGACACAAGTACTCAGCAGAGACAGAAAGCATTCCTCAATGGCATGTGGTCATCCTGAAATCCCTTCATTTCTCTATCCTGTTGGGATTACAGGTGTGCATGCACATGCACCTGGCACCATTTTTTCAAACTGCCGGGGTCAATATTTGAGCCTCGGTGGGCCATATGGATCTGACTCCTTTAATCACTGCACTAAGGAGTCAGTCCTGAAATGGCTTTGTTAAACCAAAACCATGGGCCAGCTGGGGGCATGGTGGTTGAGGTGTCTAGATCCCACATGGCTGACTGCGATTTGAGTCCTGAACTCAGCAGCTCGAGAAGCACACTGAGCAATTTGAGAAATATGTCAGGCACATGTGAGATCCTGAGAGGAGAACAGAAGAGAAGGGATTGTAGCATGGCTATACACTTTGGTGGGGGGGGGATTTCTCGCTTCCTCTCTCTCTCTGTCTCTCTCCAGCAAGTGTACATCCTATAACAAAACAAAAACAACAACAAACTATTTCTTTCATGAGAGGGAGAAAGAGACAAATAGCTATCCCGATGGAGTGTGGCCCAGCAGCAATCCCCCTGCAGCCTCCCAGTCATGGGCATCACATGAGGATGCAGCATATTCAGGTTGACCCAGGACCTGAGTCTGGTCTCTCGTGTGGCTCCAGCATTGATTGCACAGTGGCATCCTAACCCTGGCCTTGAAATGGCTTTTTGATTGCCAAATGTGTTCTCTGACTGAGAAAGGATGACTGGGGTCCTGACTTTATAAAGCTGGCAATAATCGTATATTTAGAAAATGAAAAGGGTTCCTGAGATTTCAAATAACACCAGAAGAGGTTGTGTGAGCTGTTTCTATTTATCTAGAAATGGATAGAAATTGAAAGTGGATGTGAAATGGTGGCCTGAAAATATCCCTGACACTTGAATTCAGAAATCGTGCGTTGTGGCAGGTTGTGTGTGTGAGGGGTCGGGAGGGGCCTGCTATTGGCCTTTTGCCGACTCTCTTTTCCAGAGCAATTGGTCCACACAGGGACACTAGCTGGGAGGGGAGAGTCATCCCTGGCTATTAAGGCTCACGGAGAACTCAGAAGGAGCCCATCAACCACATCTCTCATTGCACAGGAGAGTCCTGGCCTCACTCCCCTCTCCTGGTGGCCCTCTAAAGCTCATCCCATTGGCCCAGCCACGGTAGTGTACAGTGGGAGACGCTGCTACTCACAGGCTGAGGCCATGTGGGAGGCCTGGGTTCGATTCTCAGCTTGCTCTAAAAGCTGGGTGCAGTGGTGCACACCTGTAGCCCTGGTTGCTTAGGGGGCTGAGGCAGGATATAGCAAGACCCTATCTGAAAAAAATTTTTTTAATTAAATTAAATTTGCCCCATTAACCACGTGGGCTGGCCCATTATATTAAGGGGCTCAGGGCAGCTGCAGAGGTGCAGCGGTAACACAACCCTCTGTGATGCTGAAGCCTCGTGGGAAGGTCCTGGGTTTGAGTCCTGAGGTCTCCTTGTACACGCCGGGTGTGCATGCATGTGCCTGAGATTTTGGCTAAAGCATGAAGACCCTGTTGGGTGAGGGGCTCTCTCTCTCTCTCTCTCTCTCATGGAAGAAAGAAAGAAATATTTTGTAAAAGAAGCTCCATGAGCACTTGTCAGAAGAGCTCCTGACCAGATCGGGGCCATCTCAAGGGCAAAGACCACGTCAGAGTCACCCTTGAGTCCGCCGTTGACCAGCGTGGGCCCCAGCCTGCATCCTCAGCCCCCAGACATAGCACCTTTGGCCATGAACTCTGTGATGATGAAGATGGGCTCCTCTGTGACCACGGCATGCAGCTTCACCAGTTTGTCGTGCTGCAGGGTTTTCATCAGGTTGGCCTCTGCCAGGAAGGCCTCCACCGACATGCTCCCTGGCTTCATCGTCTTCACCGCCACCTTGGTGTGCTTGTTGTATGTGGCTGGAAGGGGCCAGGGAGTAGGGAAGGTGGTCAGAACCCACTGGGCCACTCCCACAGCCCAAGAAGACCCTGTTGCAGATCTGCCTGCTCCAGAAAGCTTTCTCTGCCCATCTCTGCCCTTAGAGGGGGACGGGAAGGCCTGGGAGGAGGCCTCCGACAGAGGAGGGTAGGAAGGCTGTCTCCCTACTTTCTAGCTGTGTACACTTGGAGAGTTGCTTAACCTCTCTGAGCCATGGTTTCCTCATCTACAAAGTAGAAATGATGAGCACTCCCTTTGAAAGACTGCATGGATTAAAAAATAATCTCAAAACACCACTCAGATCTCTCTCTCTCTCTCTCTCTCTCACACACACACACACACACACACACACACACCCCACTTTAATCTTAACACTACTCTTGAAATAAACACCAGACTTAGTACAGCCCACAGCCCTGCAGGGCAGATATTGCCGCTCTCTACTTATGGGGAAGGACAGTAAGTGTGGGGCATGCCTTTCTGGTGGCCCACAACGTCCTAGTGCCACGCTGACCACAACAGGTGTGCAGGACAGTTTGTTCATCTGGGGAGCCTGGAACTCTCCGGGCTGCATCTCTCTGCTCTTAATTCTCATCATCCCGAGAGGCAGCTGGTTATCTCAATCTCAAATTTGTAGCTGTCCCAGACTCGTATGAAAAAGGGGATTCCTCTGCCAGGATGCCTGCCTCCCAGAAGGAAGTTTTACCCCATGGACTGGCCTCAAAGGCAAATCGGTGTTTGCAGAGCAGGACGATTTGGTTTGCTATCAGAGGGATTGCTCCTCTGTGGCTGTCATTCAAATCTCCCCTTCCATCCTGGGAAGGGGAGCTTCTCACTTTGCCTTGGGTGTTTCCGGGAGGGAATGGCCTCCCCTCCCTCTCCTCTCCACTCTCTGCCTCTAGGTCCTTACCCATCCAGACTTCCCCAAACTGCCCAGCTCCGAGTTTCTTCTCCATCTTGAGGGACTCCCGGGGGATCTCCCAGGCATCTTTCTCCCACGGCTTCTGGGGCTTGGAGGACACGCAGGGCACTGAGAGCTTCTGGCAGAGCCCGTCACTCCCCTCTGGAAAGAGTCTCTGGTCAGTTGAGGGCAATGAGCTCCAGGTAGCCAGAGGCTTCCCCTGCAGGGCCTCCCCCCTCTGGCCTGTTGCCTCTGGTCACCACTATCAGAGACAGTTCCGAGAGTGGAGCGTGACAAAATGCCACCTCTATAGCGTGCTCCTGCACTCTCCTGAGCAGCAGGCCCAAGCCTTCAGGAGAATCTGAAGCAACTATTCTCCTGGGGAGGCTGGCAAGACTTCAGCAGGCCTCAGAGGCTGCAGGGACCTGTGACGAGGATTTTCCAGAGACAGGGGCATCTCTGTAGGGAGAGACCCTAGGGAAGGACTCACTCTTGTAGTGGGCCACCAGCTCCTGCAGGGTGCTGAAGGTACTTCGCGGGGAGATGTAGAAGCCCCCATTGTCCAGGGTGCGGATCTTGTAATGCTTCACTGCATCTCCTAGTTGGGGGTCGTAGTCTCGCACGGACAAAGAGTAGCTTCCTGCATTGACCAAAGGGAAACCACTCAGAATGGCACCTCGGAGGCCTGTCTCCTTGTATCAGCACCCTGATGCCCCTTCCTGACACCTCCGGAAGGCCCCTGTTGGCACTGCCCTGCCCCTGAGTAAGAGGGGGCTGTGGAGTCAGCCTGCTAACTTAGTCCTTGTCCAGGATCTGCCATGTCCACCTGTGAGGCCTTGAGCAAGCAGCTACGGTGTGTCTTTATGTCTCAGGTTCCTCCTCTGTAAAATGGGAATAGTCACCATGCCTCCCTGACTCATCACAATGCCTGACAAAGGAAGTAATGCTTGTAAAATACTTGGGACATAGACACTCAGGAAATACTGGTATCATCATCGTCTTTATTTTTTTGCTGTTGTTTGCAAGAGCACTTGTGTATGCATGAGGAAGAGTGTATGGGTTTTAAGCTGCCGGGTCTGGGACTCGAACCGCTATTGACTACATGAGAGTCCAGCTATATAACCATCATGCCATCTGCTGGTCCTGCATTATGATTATTCTGACAGCCCAATGCTATGTCATAGGATTTGGGGAAGGTTTAAATCGTTAAATGAATAACAGCTGACCACAGATGCCAGGCCCTGTTCTAAGCACACTCTAAGAATGAACAATGAATGAGAATTAATATTAATTTTAATGAATAATGATATGAATTATATAATTTATTTTAATGAATAATAAATAACCTCACGAGGTAGAGGTTTTATACTATTATTCTCTTCATTTTACAGATGAGGAAACTGAGGCACAGAAAGGCAAAGTCGCTCACCTGCAGCCACACAACTGGTAAGAGGTTCAGCCAGGATTCAAACCCAGGCAGCTGGTTCCAAGGCCCCCTCTTAGCTGTCTGTACCTGTCAAGGTGAGGCTGGTCTGACTGATGCTGGGGTGAGAGTTGAGACAGAATCCAGAAAGCAGCAGGATAGGATCCAAGGGCTCCTGCTGCAAGCGTGATCTAATTGGCTAATCCCCTCCTCCCCACCTGGACCAGGCTCACTTTCCTGCCTCATGTCTGTGATGGTTTCTCTGGATTCTCTGCCCAGGCTGGCAGGCTGGACCATCCCAATCCCATGCTGTCCTGGGCATGGCTGGTGAGGAGAAGCACGGGGCTGTGCATAGCTTTGCCTTATTTCATTTCTTTTCCCCGGGGGTCTTATTGGGTGAGAAGAAATAAAGCCTAAACATTCACAACCAGCCATATTCAGGCTTCGTCAGTTCAGAGAACTAGGGGTCAGGTAAAAGGCCACACACATACTTAAGATCGATGTTTTCAAACAGATTGCTTCTGGGTACTGTGAGGTCACACTTTCTGCAATTTACTCGCTTTATCAGAATCATGCAGTTTTGAAACATAGTCGTAAAAGTGTACTCTGTGTGGGAATTATTTATTTATATTTTAGTTTTCTTTTTTTGAGAGATTTTTGCTGTAGGGTGTGTGCGTGTGCTTTGCTGGAGAGACAGAGAGGCAAAAAGCAAGAAATCACCCCCCAGAGGGAAATGGCCATGCTTCAATCCTTTCTTGTCTATTCTCTTCTCCAGATTTTGGGCACGTGTGTACACATGCTGGTGTGAGTTTTAAGCCACCAGGTCTGGGACTCTAACCACGGTAGATTACAACGTAACCATTTTGTTATCTGCTGGTCCCGAAATCTTTAAAAAGAATTTTTTTTTTTTTTAAGTTTGCCAGAGGAAACTGTGCTTGCCAGAGATAGAAAGCAGCTCCCATGCGGTAGTCACGCTGTGATTCGCTTCATTTCCCCCTCCTTTCGGGACTTTGGGCACGCATTCACAAGTGCCCAGTGTGTTTTTCAAGCTGCCAAGCTCAGGACTTGGATCTCATGGTGGGCAAGGTGGGATCTAGCTGTCTTAATCACTAGGCCACAAGTGCGTGCAACTTAAGTCATGAGAATTCCTACAGTGCTACTGGGGAAAGCAGTCCCGTTGAGGCCAGTTTGAGTTAAGTGATTTGGGGGGCCCTCTCCCTGCCTCCCATGCACCCTACTGCCCAGGTACAAAGCCAGCTCACAGTTTAGGAATTTCAAGCGGCTGCTCACCTGACAGAACTTTCAAAAGCCTCCAAGCAGCATTGTAAGCGGGCCCTCGAGATGCCTGTTTTGGGTGCGTGCCCTCATCCTACCCCATTTCCCTACTGAAGGGAGGGAGGAATCTGACTCGTGGACAAGGTTTGTTGTAATTTTAAAAACACAAGCTAAGATTAAGCTGCAGCAGGATGCTCATTTGTTTTGGGACCTAAACCACATGGGATTACTTCTATTGACCTAAGCTGGTAACTACGGGGGCCGAGAAGGGCCAAGATAGACACAGAACTTCAACCCTCCTGTCTCAGTCTGCAGAAGGAAGGAGAAAAACTGGCAGCCATGGTAGCCTGGTTAAGTTATTCAGCTCTCCCCCTTCCCCAGGACATTTTCTGGTGGTGTCCAGTCATGCCTGGGGCATCCCTGCAGGGCAGCACACAGTAGGGAAGCCTGGGGTCACCTTTGGTGGTTTCGCTGTCCCGGATCATGAAGGAGCCCAGCACGTTGCCAGAAGCCAGGAGGTGGCGCTCTGCATCTTTTCGGCTGATGCCCTTGAAGAACCACCTGGTGGAAAGGGCAGAGGAAACATGTGAATCTGGTGTCATGCAGCTGGGATGTTGTGAAGTGGGGTTCAAATCTAGGCAGTCTAACTGGACCCAAGCTCTTATTTCTTTCTTCATTTTTTTTTTTTTTAGAAAAATTTTTTCCCTAGGGGTACGTGCACTCACCAGG